CGGCTCGGTCCTGTAGCAACCAGTGCCGCAAAAGCCGATTGGTTGGTGAAGTGGTGTGCTAGCAGTAGGGCTGTCTTCGGGCTTTGCGTGGGCGAGTCTTGGGCTTTTGTTTTATGGTCTGCAGGACCCAGGCTTGGGTTAAAATCCCCACGTCTCAAGACTGGAAAAGCGGTCGGCGGAAAGACGTGGCAAGAGACTGAAAGGCCCGGGCCTCGGTGGACGTGACCACCTTCCGGGGCCACTCGGCGCTGCACATCGCCGCGTGGGGGGGCAACCCGGAGATCGCCCAGCTGCTCTTGGAGGCGAAGGCGGACCGCCAGCTCTGCGTGCGGCGGCCCAAGGCCAACGCCTTCTTCATGGCCGTGATGCAGGAGGGGCCAGAGCCGGGGGAACATCAAGTGAAGTTACAATGATATCAATCCCGAAGTTTCAAGAGGGGTTCAAAGGTAGCAACTGTTCCTCCTGCAGCAGCCACTTCCAGGCATAAATATCCCGTGTTCAACCTGTGCATGTCTCCTCTCAGGCTGCGTGTTTTCCACTTCGAGACACTAGTTCTCACGGATTCCACTGAGGCCAGCAAGGAAGAGGTGGGCTCTGGAGGGTGTTCCTAAATGTTGGACGGGCGCACCGTGATGTGGCTTGAGCAAGGCGGCTTTCCCAAGTGTGATCCTGTTGCATGGACGGTATTGTGATTGTGTATCCGTTGGGGGCAGGAGCGCATGTCGCCCAAACGTAGTCCGCAGGTTTGATACAGTTCCATGTTGCAGCTATCAAAATGCCATGCAGATGGAGGCTGTGCTTGCCAGAAAGAAGGCACCCCTTCGCAAACAACGGCCAACCTGGGAGAACAAGTGGCTTGTTTTCATGGATAGGGCGGCGTGTGGCGATTTTCATGGCCCGATGGCACACCTGGTTGAGTATGACTGTTGGCGTGGGGATTGTTCGATCATGTTGGCCAGCACCCTCTAGGTTTCATGGCAACGGCCCGTGGGTTCGGCGGAGCCTTCGGTCAGGACAACCCGGCCACCTTGGAGTGCCTCCTGCGGGGCCTGGAGCCCTCCGAGCCCGAAGCCAAAGCCGAAGCCGGGCTCCACCGCCTGCTGCTGCACATCGCGGCGCGGAATGGGCAGCAAAGCATCGCCTCCCAGCTGTGCCGCATGAAATGCGACGTGAACGCGCCTCAGCCTCTTTTCGTTGGTCGGCTTGCCTTTGCCTCTTTTTGTTGGGGGTCGGGCCTTGCAAGGAACGGGGAGGGTGGAGTCCGGCCGTGCCTGGCCAATGCAACTCAGGAGGTCGCCACCGAGGAAAGCATCCGAGACCTGCAGCACGCAGCAAGTTTGGCGCAGTGCCAGCTGCCCTGCAATGCGGCCGGGCTCAACATCCAGGAGCGCTCAGCCTTTGCTGGACAGGCAGCGACTAGCGGTGTGTTTGATGAGCGTCCAAACAGCCCCTTTAGGTGGATGTGCAAAGTAAAAGGAAACCAGCCATTTGTGGGGACCCAATATGCACAGGAGAATGTGGACACAGAGGACTTCGAGGGGGAGGAGTTTGAGGTGGACGTCATCCATGCCGGGGACGATTGCGAGGCATGGATAGACTGGACTTCGTGTTGCGCCCGTTGGTTCGTAGAAACTTGACGCTTGGGAGGCTTGCTTCGGCACCTGGGGGCCGGTGGATGTTGACCTGCCGGTGGGGTGCACGCCCTTGTTCATGGCCGCCTTCTTTGGCCGGGACTGCCTGGTGGAGACCCTGTTGCTGGAGAGGGCGGAGGCGACCTGGCGTGAGCCGGTGACATGGTATTTCTGTGCGCGGGGGGCGGGGGGGGGGGGGGGGGGGCTGGAAACCGTGTGGGTGTGACCCAACAGCCCAATGCACACATCGAAGCAGAGAGTCGTGGACACAACAGCAGCTTGAATAAACAATCCAACGGTGTTCCAACATATCCAAGGTCTAAAAATATCACGCTCAATTCCTGGACCAGTACTTACATACATTGCTTTAGAGGGGGTGGCTTAATTTCCCCCGCTTGGGCACTCGAAAGCCGCGGATGCACACCAGCCTTTGCTAGGTGAACCAGCGTGATGCCTGTGGCTCCACCCCGTTGTCCACGGCAGCGGAGGAGGGGTTCCCGGAGATCGTGAAGATTCTGGTTGACCAGCGCGCGGGGGCCCCCAGGGCTGTCCCTTTCCTGATTTGCGCACTGCGCAATGGTCACTGAAGGAGACAAGGATGTAGGGCATGTGGGCTGGACCATTAGCATTGTGTCATCTAAGAGACTTGGTCAAGGCGTGTGCGCCTTTGGGGCTGCGTTCCAATCGTGGCAACACAGTGGTCGCTACATCCTCGACTGTTTTTTTCTGACGCAGCGCCACTTCTGCATTTCACACCCAGAATGCCCAATGTAGGCCTGGTGGCCAACGACCAAGTCGGCAAAATGCAGTTCAAAGGATCCTGGGAATTCACGGTCCGGGGTTCGTTGCCATGAAGCACACGCAGTTGCAGCGGATGTCGGGGCTTTGTTTATGCGGCCTTTGGGGGATTGTGGCAGGATTTCTGAACCATCTCAGCTGCTGTGTTGGGGACCTACGGTATTGGGCTGATTGATTGGCATCCTTGGGCGCGCAGGCAGACTTGAACGCGACCAACGATACCACCCTGACGCCCTTGCAGCTAGGGGCGTCCAACGCGAATACCCAGGTGGTTGAAGAGCTTTGCCGTGCCAGGCGTGCTCGGGCATGGGCCGGGCAAGTCTGGAAGAAGCTAGAGAAAGCATTGCTTTGTTGAGTGCTATTTTCCATGAGTGATGGCAGCCAGACATATCATGATGTTTGCGTGCACATGGCCTCCAACTGCCGGTCACTGGGTTCCCCACCAAAGTTGCAATGTAAGGGTGGGTTTCAACGATTCATTTGGGGTGGCAAAGGGGACAAATTCAGGGCCCTCTGCACATGACCCTGCTCACAAACATCGCTGCCGGGGGTCCCTTCAGGGAGCAAATCTTGGGGCCCGTTTCGTGGGACTTGCAAATCTTTGAATGGCTGGACTTCCACCAAGCTGGGGTAGTGGCTTGATGCTTCGAAACATCTTGTCATGACTGTCACAGCTGCTGTTATTCTTTGGGAATGCTGACACACTTTAAAACCAGTAAGTCTGTCACTATGTGAGGCATATCTATTCTTCTATACAAATACATATCTGCATTTTTTTAGACGTATATGCATAGCTCCATTCTGCAAAGGCATGAGCCAGCCTCCGCACCCCGAGGGCGGAGGTGGACTACGTGGCCTCGGAGGGGCGCACCGCGCTGCACTTCGCGGCGGCGGGGAACTGCCCGGCGATCTGCCGGACGTTGGTGGGCGCCAGGGCGCAGCTCGACATGGCTAACGTGGACGGCCACACCCCGCGCCCCGGGCGAAACATGTTTGCCGAAATGATGTCCAGTGCCCACGTCAAGGCTGAAGGATATGGACAATTCGGGGAGGGCGGGAATGCCGAACGGAATTCCATGATTTGGGGAAGGACACCTGCCTTTTCCTTCGTGGGGATCATGAGATTTGATGCGGTCCTCAGAAAGGTTGTTTGCAACAGTCAGTGATAGATAAACTCTGGGGAGAGCACCCATCCATTAGTCCGCCTTTGCCCCTTAGAGGTTTGGAAACTGTTGGATTTATCATTGGGCCTACAGAAAGTGGAGGTTAGCCCACAAGAAGCGTCCCACTCAGGCTGATGATGGCCGCGGTGGATGGCTACGCCAAGGTGGCCAAGGCGCGAGTTTTTAACTTTTTACCAAGTTTCCATGCTTTTGAGGCCCCTCATTGGTTGTAGCTTACAACATCCTCGGTGACTACGCTCTCCAAGCGCCCAAGTGAGATGGATGCCTGCGAGGTCCTGTGGCAGGCGCGCGCGGACACTGCGATGACCTCGCAGAAGGAAAATGCGACCGCGCTGCAGCTTGCGGCGCAGCACGGGAACCTGGACGTCGCAAAGAGCCGCGGCGAAGTGGCAGGGGCATTTGTCCCAAAAGTCGTTGCCATGCTTAGCCTCCCGTTTTTTATGTTCCATCATATTCCCTACTACTAGCGATTTCACCTTTTGCTGGGGATCGGAGCCTTGAAAAATGGTTGGTTCCCTTTGGGGTTCTCTTCAAGGAAAGCCGATCATAAAGGGGAGCTCAAAGTTCGAGGAGCCCACCAAGATGCACATCCGCACTATTGCTTGAATTGCGGCAAGCAAACCAACCTCAAAAACATGATTGGCCCGCCAATCCAGCTGCAACCGAATCAGCGCGTGCTTAATGTTTGTCAACCGGAGGAGCGATGCTCAATTTTGTTTGACTTGCATGTCAATGTGTGCTGTATTGAACTTGTTCCTTGCAGGGGGAGTGCGGTTTTGCATGCTTAGAGGCTGGCGTTCAGACTTGCATTGTGCCTGCTTTGGGTCGCCACGCGGCAGCCACTTTGCGTTGAGAGGACAACCGGCAGCCTAAGAAACGTACATGGCAGATTTCCCACCCTTCAAAGGCACATTGACAAGCAGCCAGAACCCTGGCAAATTATTTTGATAGATTTCGATAGAGGATTGCGTAAATTGCCGTTTTGCTCGACCTGGAGGCCAAGTCAATCTTTCCGACCGCTATCAGCAATTGCCCCGGGAAGGCTGGCTACCCCGATTTGATTCTTGTTATTTTGCAGAGATCATTCAGTAGGAAGTAAAGCCGGAATTGGGTTCAGGGTCCTAGGCCCGAGTGGTCCCGAGAAGCGCATAGTCAGGATGTTGGAGGAGGTGGTGCCAAACGGCAACGAGTGAGAGGGAGGGGTTGCCTTGCCAGGGGGAAAAAGGTGCTGGGTGCGGCCTTGGCATATCAGGGGAGCGGCCTTCCATGTAAGCAGTGTGTAAGGCGAATCGAATGGCGAATGGGCTGCAGGGAAGCCCCAAGCTTCACGTCAACAGCAGGGAGCGGCGACACAGAGCATTGGGTGATGCATTTGCCATTTGCTTAGGTCGAGCCGCGGGCTTCCTTTCCAGAGCGACTTCTTCGACCTCATTGTGGTGGACCCGCCGGCCCCCCAGTCTATGCTGTCCCTCTTTGCTGTAGGCTGGGGGCCATGCTGCAGGCTTATAATACTCCAAAGCCAAACCGTGCATGGGACCAAGCACAGATCAAATCCTGAGCAGGCCGTCGCACAGTTGGGCGCCGTAGCTGTTCCGGAATCAGACCTTGTCCCGTGTTCAACAAACGGAGGGCCCGTTGTTTAATGTTTTTTTTTGTTTTTCAGGGTGGGTGGCTTTTCGCCTTTTTGGCTTTTGTGGCTTCTCTGTGGGTTTTTGTGGCTTTTGTGGCTTTTCATTTCGCATCATTTCGCATCCTCTGCATTCGCTGTTCCTCTCTGTTTGTCTTTGCGGTTTTTATTGGGTTCATGCGCCTTTATCCTCTGCATTGCCAGTTCCGCTGCAGCAGGCGGCTTTTTGGCTTTGTGGCTTTTGGCGACTTTCTGGCTTTGGCTTTTCGCATCCTCTGCTTTCCCAGTTGGTGTTGGCTTCCTGCATCCTCAGCATCGCCAGTTCCTCTCTGGTGCCCCCCGCCACCCCCCTTTCGATTAAAATGCACGCCAAATTGAATCATCACTTTTTCGATCATTCGACAGCTACTTTTTAGATTCTTTGCCCCTAGTTGAATCATGTTCACTTTTTCGATCATCATGGGGGGGGCTGCCGCCCCCCCCCCTCCCCCAACCCCCCCGCTGCTTTTTAGACTTATTGCCAAATCATCACTTCTTCGATCATCATGGGGGGGCTGCCGCCCCCCCTCCCCCAACCCCCCCGCTGCTTTTTAGATTTTTTTTGCACCTCATTGAATCATCACTTTCTTGATCTTCATGGGGGGGCTGTTGCCCCCCCCTGTGTTGCTTTTTGTTGCACATTGACCTATTCACACACTCCGCTGACATGATGGCTCAAGGCCCTTCAAGTCATTTGTACAGTCATTCGACTCATGGTACATTGATAAAAAGGCTTGCCGACCGCTTTACAGGAATCACAGTCAACACAAGCCACCAGGGACAATCCTCCATATTGGCATATTGGACTCTCTCCGGAATAGATCCAGGGACCAAATCAACGACCTCTACTTCCACAGGGTACCAGTTCCCTTCTGAGATAGGCACCCCGGCAGTGGGCCTCAATTTGTGGTAGCGGAGCGGGTTTTCCGCAGAGATCCAAGGGAAGATGTCATCCGATGGAGAAGGCTTCATGGAAGCCTTTTCAAGTATGGCCAAACCATCAGGCTATACGGAGGAAACGCTCAATTTATCGATGACCGCCAGCAGCAATCGTACGACGGAAAAGTCAGCCGGTTCAGGTATGAAGAACTCGTGGGCGACTGGGTGACAATCACTACGGTGGAAGCACCCAAGAGAGGACCTCTGCTCAAAAGCAGACTCACAGGAGATGCCTATATGTACAAGGCAGTCCTCCAAAATTACCTTTTGCAAACCCTGATGAAGGAGTCAACTACTTCAAGAACACGCTGAAGAAGTACTTTTTCTCATTTTTACCTCAAAATTCGAAATCCTTCTCATGAGATTGAAGGCAGCATGGATGGACTTGATGCACGTTTTCACGGCACAGTCCCCATCATTTCGACAGTCCGTACAGGACGCAAATGCAAGAACAATTGCTCGACATCAGCAAGCAGCTGGTACTCGAGTACCGCCTCCAGTCCTGCTCGATGAGGGTGATCCAACAGTCCTCAGACAGTACATCGCGGGAATGCAGGACAGACAGCGGGACGCATTTCCCTTCGGGGATAATCTCATTGCGCAGTTTTTCATCACACAGAGTGAATTGTCAGATCAGCAGAGAGAAAGACTGACCAGTGCAATGTCACTGAGAAACATTTCACTAGAGAACTACTCCTATGAGATGCTGAAGACGCATTACCATGAACTCTTCATCACGACCAGGACATCCATACAAGATCCATCCATCCGACCTCAAGGAGGCAACCGAAGCAATAATTCTTCATCATCGAACAAGGTGAATACGAAGGAGAAGAAGGCTTTTGGGTTGAGGATGAAGACGGACTTGAAGGATTCATGTCGAACAACGATGAAGAGACATTCTGGGTCCTCGAGGAGAACGATGCGTTCATAGCAAGAAAAGTGTCAGGGCGGAATTTCAGAATCAAAAAGAGAAAAGGAAAAGGAAAATCAGGAAACAAAAAGGGTAGTCACCAACGAGGTGGCTTCAAACCCTTCAGAAAAAGCGGTTCTGGCGGGAAGGCCAATATGGCCAATGAAAACTATGATCCCTACGACCAGGCATATTGGGGAAAAGGCAAAGGAAAGAAGGGAAAGAAAGGAAAATCAAAATTCCAATATCCCTATGATGGAAACAAGGGTTATCCATCCTATGAGAATGGCAAAGGAAAGGGCGGACACGACAAAGGAATATCCAAGACGTTCGCAGCCATCGCAGAGAAGACGGAGGAGCAGCCCGCCATCCAGCAGACTGCGCCATCCACAGAGCCTACCTATGCTGGTTGGACAGACCAAGATTGGGATCAATCATGGACATGGAACGAACAAAGGTGGTACTCATCCGATGAGACATCCAGCACAGGACAAGCGCTAATGGCATTCCATGACGCATATGAGCATCATGAGAAAGAGGCCATCCACGGGAAGCTGATCCAATCAAATCAGATGCAGTTTCAGAACACAATTTGTCCGTCACAACAGATCACAGCCTTTTGGCAACCAAGCTGATGGCGCCTGTCATCAACCCTCAGCACAATCCGACCTATGCGATTCTGGACAATGGATGTACCAGATCTATGGGCAGCTGGCATGCAATCCAGCGTTTTACTCAGGCCATCGAACCCATGAAAGACCTCATCTCCATCCCGGCCGAGACCAAGTTCACTTTTGCAAACAGAGAAACAGCCAAGGTAAATTGGACCTTGCATCTCCGATATCACACAACTCCTCCGTGCAGTACCAACATCGACGTCCTTGAACAAGGAACTGTACCGATCCTCCTCAGCATCAGTCAGATGCGGAACCTCTACATGACCATCGAGCACACACCTCAATGTGACAAGATCACATGCAAGGCCTTTGGCATGAACCGTCAAGCAGTTCCAGTATCCGGTACAGGACATGCGCTCGTCGACCTCGCTGGAGTTGGAGGGCCTAGCAACTCCTAAAATCATTGGGTCTCAAAAGCAGGACCATTGGATCCTTGATAAGAAGAACAAGCAGCTCATCCGTGTGCACATCACGCCTCGCAAGGCGCTGTTCACACCAAATGGAGCCAAGGAATGTCCAATCAATCCTGATATCAGCAGCCGAGAGCGTACTACGGAAATCATTGATGCATCCGAAGGTGGAGATCCAGACATCCTAGAAGACAATTGGAGACTTACATCCCAGGCAAACAAACCAATGATTAACCTGTGGATAGGTAAGACCATTTTCACCTTCGCGGACAATTCGCTTAAGGACGAAGAAGCAGGTTCAGGATCGGAAGCAGACAGGATCATCGACAAGAAGGGCCGGTCGGCCATTGAGCCAGATCCTTTCGCACCATCCTCAGAAGAACCAACGACGCTTCCGCTTGCACTAGGCAGAATCCACAAGCGATTATCAAGTCCCGAAGAGTTGAAGAAGCTCCACCTCCAGCATCATCACATGACAACAGATCAATTTCGATTTAGAACTCGCTCACTTCATTTGCCGAAATCAGCATTCGATCTATTTGACAAAAACAGAAGTGAATGTGAAGTTTGCCAAGCGGCAAAACATGCACCATCACGAAGCAAGACGGGCGGACTTCGAGCGGACACCTTTGGTGACATGACATTCATTGATCACTGTCAAGTTCCTCTTGGAACAGGAGAACGCATCATTGTTTTGTCATCCTGGATGGAGCAACAACATTGCTCACTGCAGAGGCAGTGACAACTACGCAAGAAGTCGAGAACATCACTGTCCTCAGGAACTATTTTGACCAGTACCACTTGCATCCCAAATCAGTTGTCGCAGATCAAGCCTTCATGACAGAGACATGGGAACATTTTTGTCAGTCCCTTGACATCACGCCGATATCCTTGGGACCGAACACACCATGGCCAAATCGAGCTGAAGCAGCAGTTCGACTCCTACTCAAGATCATGCTAAGTTCCATCAAGGCAGGAACAGCACCTGCAACACTGAAGAAAGTGACATACAGACAGCTGGTGAAGGCAGCTGCAACTGTCAGGAATCAGACTGTCACCTACGGGGGTGTAACACCATTGGAGCTCGCATTCGGAAGACGACCAGCAGATCTCATCCAACTCGATGTCGCAACACCAACTCAGTTGACGATTGACAGGACTGAGGAGGAGCTGACAGCCATCCAGATCCAACAGCTGTCAAAGCAAGCATTCCAAGAAGCGTCAGTCCGAAGACATCTTGCTCAAAATCTCCGAATGAGTTCTAAGCCTCTTCAGGTGAAGGACAAAGTATTTTACTGGCAGGAAGACAAATCCAAGATCCGTTCCGATGGAAGCAAGGGAGGAATATGGCTAAAGGGGAAAGTCATTTCCATTGAAGGAGCAATGGTAGGACTTGATCTTGGGACTCGGCTCATCAAGGTTAACATGACGAAGGTCAGAAAGGATGAAACCATCCCTCTGAGGAAACCTGGAATTGATCTTCTCTTGCCAGAAGAGCGAGAATCCTTGCAGAAGGAGCAAACCGGCTCCTCTGCCGACACCAAGAAGAAGGAGTCATCCGCACCAGCTCCAACGCCAAAATCCTCAGTGCCATTATGTATAGCGGGAAAGACAACTCCCAAACCTGCAGTGCCTCATCCGGCAGAGAACATGTTCGTCGAGGACCTCACATCCGTTCCTGAACAAGCACATTGAAATTGTGTACGTAAAGGAAAGATCCACGTTCTCGAGAATTTTGCAGGAAGTGCCAGATTCAGTCAATGCTGCGCACTCTCAGGTCTTAAGGTTGGGACTCCCGTAGATATCCGCACGGATTCGACGTAATGACACACATGGTCA